GGGCTTCATGTGGGGGGCTCCCCTCGTCTCTGGGATGTACTGTAAGGTGGATAGGGGGCTTCATGTGGGGAACTCTCCTTGTCTCTGGATGTACTGTAAGGTGGATAAGGGGGCTTCATGTGGGGGGCTCCCCTCGTCTCTGGGATGTACTGTAAGGTGGATAGGGGGCTTCACGTGGGGGGCTCCCCTCGTCTCTGGGATGTACTGTAAGGTGGATAGAGGGCTTCATGTGGGGTGCTCCCCTCGTCTCTGGGGTAATAAGAGGTCTCCATAAGAAGATGACATTTTGTGGAGAGTGAGTGGAGTGGCAATTTAAATGGTACTGGGAGATGCTTGGAGTGGAACAAAGAGGGTTTCTGGCACAGGGAACTGCCTTTTTAAGTACAAAGGGAAGAGTGGTGAGTGTAGGAGGTTATCAGTAGCAGAAACTGAGCAAGGGGACCAGGACCAGAATGAAGAATGAGGCCAGAGAGGTGGGTAGAGGCTAGGTAGTTTTCTGAGCCACAGGTGAATTTTGGTCTTTTCCCAGAGGATAGTGGAAACTTAATAAGGGCTTTAATTAGCTAGATGAATGACATATATAGACATATATAGAATTATGTTTAAAATATCATCCTGGATATTAAGTGGAGGATGGATTAGAGGAAAAGCTTGGGGTCTAATGTATGGAGACCAAGTGGCAAGTGATTTTTGTAGTCTATATCAGGTATGGAGGTGCTTAGGTCTAGGATGGTGACAGGTTTGGAGAGAGGAGATTGGAGAGACACACTAAATTTGAAAGTTATAATTGATAAGATTCGTTGATCAATTGACTGTGGAGACTGGAAGAAAAAGAAGTCAACCTTGACTTGAGTTTTTTCTTAAGCAACTGAGGATGATGCCATTTACAAAGCAAGGGAACACTGAAGGGAAAGCAGATTTTTCTGTTTTCAAGAAGGGAGGACTTTTAGACGTTGACTTGGAGGTTCCTGAGAAACATCTAAGATCTTTTTTTTTTTTTTTTTTTTTTTTTTTTGAGACAGAGCCTCAAGCTGTCCCCCTGGGCAGAGTGCCATGGCATTACAGCTCACAGCAACCTC